AACAATCATTCTCTACATCTGAAATTCTGCCTAATACTGTAATCAACAATCATTCTCTACATCTGAAATTCTTTATTTCAATCTGAAATTCTGCCTAATACTGTAATCAACAATCATTCTCTACATCTGAAATTTTTTATTTCAAAACCTAATATTGTAATCAACAACAAAGAACTTTTATATCACAGATGACTATAAAGATAACTAAATATACACAGACATCATGAGAGTTTTATTTATTTATGTGTGTTCTGATTTTAATATATTTTCATAAACATTTAGTGCTAATGTATGGAAGTGGTAAGAGAAAAAAGCCCATAAAAGTAGTCTCAATTACACAGTTAAATGATTTAATTTTAAATAAGAAAGTTTTCCTATCATGTACAATTTGTTCTGTGAAAGTAAGAGCATTTTGTCAACATCATGTGTCATTCATATTAATAAAGGTACTCATATGGATGACACAATGTGCTGGCAAATGATCATAATTATTTCTTGAGGAAATGTAACTTGCAAAATATCATACTGCAATCTGAACTGTATGGTGGAATTAGACTGTAAACATCTCAGGGTGCTGTGATGGGAGTGAAAATATGCCCCGACCATATTCTAGAAGGAATACAGGACAAGCATTTGTTTAAACTGCTTTTTATTTTGTTTTTGGCCCTTTAATTGTTCAGTATTTTAGTTGAAATGCTTGGCCACACAGTTTTACTCCACCAACCAATAGAAGACACCCTCACACACACACACACAACACCCCTTGCTACACTTTACACAAAAGCTCCATCTTGGGTTTTCCAAGTAGTTTCTTTCCAATTCCACCACTGCATATTCCTACTGTATATCTGTAAAAATCTGATATAAATAAACTTCCCATCACTGAGTTAAAACTATTAAAAAAGATACATTATTAATCAGGTGATGATGTAATACCTCACAATAAATTTGTTTAAAATGTGTAATATATGAACCAATTCAATAAATATCCCTTTTATAAATGTATCTTAATCTGAGTATTTGCTATTAATGATAACATGTAAATATTCATGTAGCAGATTGCTTCTAAAAAATATTGTGTTACTATGCTTTGTCATTTAATAATTATACCTTTCAGCCAAGTGTTCTTACAAGCAAAACATAAGCTAATATCAAAGAAAATAAAACTTATTTAAATTGCATAAATATACCCCTGGCATGTTAACTTATATCTATTCTTCAACTAACATTTAAAATGAAACAAAAATACAAACCTTCTTCTGTTTCAGCATCATTATACAATTCTTCACTACCAAAAACAGAGAAAATTTTATAAATTAAACTTCAAAGAAATATACAAATAAAGTAAGAAATATGCACTTTGAAAATAAATCAATATTCAAATAACTATTCAGAGTTAAAATGAACCCAAAAATATCAAGCAACCACTATTCCTATCACCTTATGACATGACTTCAAGAACTTCTTTTTCCTCAATGATGATGACTCAAAGGACATGAGAACTTCATCCTTTGATACCAAATAATCATACGCATCCTAATGTTTATACAAAAAACACATGCTCCTCAAGAAAAGGGAATTCAAAGAATTTCAAAGTGTTCTCCTTGCTACTGGAAATGTAACTTACCAATTCTGACTATCATCAAAAACGTTTTAACTTAATGGTTTTTTGTAAAGCTGTGTGTGTGTGGGAAAGACATAAGTAAATACTACAAAATTTTAGCATGCCCAGGTGGCAATGAAGCACT